CGGAGCTATTCATGCCGACTAAAGCTGCATCGAAATCAGTGGGGTTGTTATTGTATCCAAAGAGTAAGGCGTTATTTGAGCCATCTAATACAAACCCTTGGAATCCCATATTAAAAGCCCAACCAGAAACACCATTGTTTAATGGTGCTTTGCCACCATTAACGAAGCTATTATCAAAATTGGCATCGGTGCTATTTAATCTGAATATTAAGGAGTTTCCAGAGCCATCTTGCACTGAAAACCAGGTTTTTTGATTGCTGTCTACCTCCACTCTAATTCGATTTGACGTCGGTGCCTGATAACCCGTGATTGGCAATATTCCGTCGCCGTCAAAGGTTGCGTCTAAAGTTCCTGCCAGAGAAAAGTTGTACATGTAAGCCTGATTTATGGTATCTCTTGCCAGAATGAAAAGTTCGCTAGTACTGGCGGCTATACTCACGCCCAAACGCTCCGTAGTATCATTTACGGTGATTAACCAGCTACCACTAAAATTAACTAATCCATTTGAATTCATGATGATGTAAGCAACGCGCTTTTTAGTGCCGTCAAAGAAAGAACCCGCGATGTAAATGTTACCGCTACTATCAATGGTCATGTCATTAGATACAAAATTGGTGTCAGAAATTTGAGTGTAATTTACACCGCTGTCTAATGTGGATGTATTGGAGCCCATTCCAAAGGTATTGTCGTTGGTCCCATCACTATTAAATTTAAATATTTTGGTTACACCGGAGCTTGTTTCCCCAACGACATAGAAATCATTATTGGTGGCGTCGTGGCCAGTTCCAGTTATTTTAATGGGAACTGTTGAAGTAACATCTCTTATGCCATCGCTATCAAAGTTGCTATCAAGTAAACCATTGTTATCAAGCTTAACCAGATAAACGCCGCTTTCAGTACCGTTATTGGCGGCGATGATCAATTCACCGTTGTTCAATGCAATCGCTTCTTGATTAAAGGCTGAGATTAAGTCATTAAGTTCACTAATGCGTTGGGTACCTGAATTTCCCCAGGAACTATCGATATTGCCATTAATGTCTGTTTTTATGGCGACTAAGTCGGCTTGCGAGTCAGTAAGACTGGTT